TGGATTAAGGAATGAAAATTAGCCAAACACCATCTTGACTATGTATATTGTATCACTTACCAGACCTGCCTAGTGTCCCACACTTGGTGTGAAAGTCAGATATATAAATATTGGTCCTGCCGACCCACATACATGCCTTAAATTAAGTCACAAATTTCCACCTATCTTCTGGGTTGGCATTAGAAGAGGGGTGGAACATATAAAACAAAAGTTATTCCGAATAAGGAGTGCATAATATTAACACACAATTTATTAAAACTATAAACATATCCCCTCATATCCATAACATATCCCCTCCCGAATATGAATTACCGGAACGAAAATAAAAGTGATAATAATACATAAAAATTGAGAGAAAGAATGAGGAAAACACACAGTGTAAACATTGGGAAGGTAGGAACATGCAATATTAGAAAAAAACCTAGGTAAATGCATGACTTGCAGTGGCGTAACAGGAGGGTGTCAGGGTGTCCAGTGACGGGGGGCCCCCGAACTTTAGGGGCCCCCGACAAAAATGACCTTAAAAAATTTGATAGCACATTTCTGGGGAATTGAATGAATTGAATTGAATAAAAAAAAACCATTCTCTGGAAAAGGCAAAATCCGTCGAGAAATTTCCCGAAGCTGCGACGGATTAAGTACGTCCCGGCTGAGGTAAAGGACGAGATACTAGAATGAATTAATTGCAATTTCATTGGGTATATGTCTGGAAAAAGTTTTGGACCCCTAAAATGGTACAATGTCCGAAAATGTTTTGGCGACGGGGGGGGGGAGAGGTCGCCAAAAATAAATTGTTCCGAGAAAAATTTTTGGAGCCTATTTTTAGTGGAGCAAAGGGGCCCAAAGTGGCCGGGCAAGTGCTCCCCCCCCCCCACCGAGAAAATTTAACTAATTTTATAAATGTGATTATGATTGTAACAGATAATTATGAAGTCAGGAAATAAAAAATAGGCACTCAAAGAGTGCGTAAGGATTTGCAATTTTGTTGTCAATTTTATAATGCAAGAAAGATTGAAAAATATCAGTTCATAATGCAAGAACGATGAAAAAATATCGCCCAAAATGTAGTATAACAAAACACAACACCATGCATGACAAATCTTTTCTTCGAATATATTCAAAGTTAATCTACTACAACTTTTAAATGGCTTTATCACTGCCTCAAAGATAAAAGAATAACTGAATTTGTAGAAATGTTTAATGTTGAAGATATTTTATCATTTAACGTTTGGATAAAAAAAACCAACAAAATAATTTCGATGTTTTCGCATTCCGCAACAGGCAATACATTTCTAATTCATTTCCAATGAATACGAATGAAAAATGGAAAAATACAGTTTTTATAGTGGAAACACCGCTTTTGATTTGATTTTATACGGCCGCTCCTGAGTTGAACGAATTTGTCTTTTAGGACCTTTTTCATTTGTATTTCTATCACAAAACAGACAGTCATATATTCATTTGTTTAGGTGAAAGTAAGTGATACAATGTTCAGTCGTTGGCGTATTCTACGAAAATGAGCGGGGTTTTTGCCCGAAAGATTGCGAATATCGACAAACACAAACGGCGGATAATAGCTTCCGGCGGTTCACGAATACTCGACTCGGAACTGTTATTAATAGGTCGTTAATTAATAGTGTTTTTGACATTAGTTGGTTTATATTCAATTTAGGACAATAGACAATTTAGGTTATTTAGATTTATTCAAATTT